CACTCCTCGGAAGGAAGGTTGGGCAATCCTACTTCCGTAGTGATACTGCCTCGGAAACCCAAGGAGGGGTCGCTATGAGTCGGGGCCGACTCGACAGCACACAAGAACAACAACGACAATGTACCTCTAAAACCTCAATATGTTCATGGATTAAAATATACCTCATATTCAATTTAATCATCTAAGCTCATGTTGGATAGTTTGCCCAGATGCCTAAACATTGTCTGGGTAGTCTGTAGAGAAGGATTTGAACATAACCTATTTTTGGAATTCAGAAATAAGGTTTCTGTGTTTGAGAAATATTTGCTTCCGTATAATTTCAAAATGCAAGCTTTCCATTTATCCATATTACTTTTCTTGGTGTATCTTTCTCTGTTACAAAATAAATTGTGTATCTTTATTTTTCTTCTCTTTCTGGCCTCTTCTGAAACATAACTAGTAAGGATTTATTCTTGATCCAACTCTTAAGATAGCAAAAAACAAAAGTGAAGGTATGTTATTTGGTTAGTATCTTCATTATCTAGTGCTGCTACAACAGAAATACACAGAAATACCACAAATGGGTGACTTTAACAAACAAGTTCATATTCTCACAGTTCAGAGAGGCTAGAAGTCCAAATTCAGAGTGGCAGCTCTAGGAGAACACTCTGTTCTGGTTCTGGAGGAAGGACCTTGTCTCTTTGAACTCCTCCTAGTTGATCTTCATAAGGCTTGGCATCTCTTTCTCCACTCTGTTTCTCTGCTTGCTTGTGTAATCTCTTTAATATCTCAAGAGATGGATTTAAAACACACTCTACCTTAATCTCATCTCATTAACATAACAAAGACGATCCATTCCCAAATGGGATTATAACTGAGGTTAGGATTTACAACACATGCATTTTGGGGGGACACATTTCAATCCATAACTGTTAGGATCATAGTCACGTGATCTCTCTGCCTCAAACCTGCTGAGTGTGTAAATAAAGCATCTGAAGTAGCAATAGCATCCACATTTGCCCCCAAAGAAATTGTCCTTTGTCTGAAGATTCAGCTGGGAAGTAAGGGCCTTGCATGCTATAAGCCTCAGCATTCTTTACCACTACCTTGTCTGTGCCAGAAATGGAGATTCATTTATTCATCCAATGTTTATTGAATTCCAGTTGTTCAAGAAGCTGATAGTTTAGTAAGCACATTATGTGTGGTATTATGTGAAAAACAGCATGATACAAGTATGCGTAATCTGTGTGGGGAGGGAAGGGATAAGAGAAAGTTTAGGGGAGTGATGCCAGAATCAGGAAGGATGACCACAGTAGGAGTTATCTGAGAGACAGGGGAATTGTGAAGAGGAATTAATAAGCAAAAGTAGAAGAGTAACTGGAATTGAGTCTAGAGAGGTAACACTGAGTGAGATCATAAAGACCATGCCATGGCATGGAGTTTGGCTTTTACTCCAACACTCTTAAGAATGAGTAAAATGGTCAGATTTGTTTTTGGGGATGCTCACTCCAGTCTAGCAGAGTAAAAGAAGGATTGGGAGGACTAACGACTGGTAGGCCTTATTTGTGAAATTATAAAGGCTTGAGCTAAGACGGTGGCAATAGTAAAACAGGTAAGGGAACAAATTAGAAATTATGCTGAATAAATTGTTTGAAATTGATCTGATTTTGTTAAGAAATCAGAAAGAATGTGCCTTTGGCTTTTGTGTTACAGATTGAGGAATGTAATGAATTAAGCACCTAGCATAGTGCCTTTCTTACATGTTGTAGATCAGTAGTTATTAAACTGACTACTGCTGCTTTCAAATGGAGCAGGACCACCAGGGTGGGCTAGTTGGTACCTTTGTTTTGTTTTGCTTTTAAATAACTTTGCCATTTTGATTAGGATTCAGTCAAAGGATCTATTGCTGATAGTTGTAAATAGAAATTTCAAAAAAAAAAAAAAAAGTCTCAAATCACCAAGCATTGGGGTAATAAGAAAGAAAATAGAAAGCAATAAATTACTACTAAATAAAAGGGTCTTTGCAGTGAAGACTTGTAAAACAGAATTTTAAAAGTCCAGTTTTCAACATGTATGGTGAACTGCTGAACTAGATAGAAGTTTGGTTTTTGTTACTCTGCTCTGCTCTTTGAAGATTATGAAGATTGAAATGTGTGTTGAGTGCCAACTACGTGCAAGACATTATGCTAGTTGCCAGGTTTTTTTGTTGTTAGCTGTGGGGGTAAGGACACAGATTAACAAGAAGTTTAGAGTCTAGTTGATGAAAGAAGGCACATAAAAATGGAACTAAATACAAAGAAGGCAGGATATACCATGTACTAAAAACATGGTATAGAAATCCTCTGAATAAAGGAAAATTGAGCTGAGGAAAATGGAACCCTGCTGCACAAACATACCCTTTGTCATCTTCATTTCTTACAAGCAGAGTTTTGTTTTTCATCTAGATATATAGCCATGGGATTGAACTAGCTTGCCAAAAGCAGAAAGAGTTTGTGAAGAGTTCTGTGGCGTGCAAATGGAATCTTGCTGAAGCGCAGCAGAAACTCGGTAGCCTAGCGCTGCATAACTCTGAGTCCTTGGATCAGGAACATGCCAAAGCACAAACAGCAGTATCCGAACTGAGGCAACGGGAAGAAGAATGGCGACAGAAAGAAGAGGCTCTAGTGCAAAGAGAGCAGATGTGTCTGTGGAATACAGATGCCATTAGCAAGGATGTTTTTAATAAGGTAAGACCTTTTATTAGATCATGTTGAAAGAAGAAAAAAATGGTGGAACTGTTTGTGCAGTTGAGTTGTGCATATTTAGCAAAGTAACAGAATTCCTGTAGACAGTATTCAGTTTTGATAGAGTTTTATAAAAAGTGCTTGTTACAGAAAGCAGTATCTAATAGAGTATAATGTAGCTGGTATTTAAACCAAATATATAGCTGTAGCACAGCACACTGGACTCATACTGCCTCAGACCTCAGATTTGTCACACACTGGCTTTGTGACCTTGGACCAGATACCTAACATCTCTAAGCTTTGGTTTCCTCAACTATAAAGTAGGTACCTGATATCACAGGGTGGGGGTGAAGATTAAATTTGTTAATGTTTTAAAAGCACATGGTGTGGGGCCTTGTATGTCATCAGACTTTGATATGAGTGCTTTCTGATACTCCTATGCTATCAGTTTACTATCAGTTTTATAACACTAATATTCAGTTACTGGATTTACTAAATAAAACAAGGTCTCTTTTAACAGTATATATTCAGAAAACCTCACATAATAATCTGGACTTAGTGATACAAGCATTATAACTGAAAGGACTCTGTAGGAGTAATTTAGTCCCTTTTGTCTCTTAAGGAGCTCTAGTAGCATAATGGGTAAGACATTTGGCTGCTAACCAGAAGGTTGGCAGTTTAAGGCCACCAGCTGCTCTGCTGGTAGATGAGGCAATCTACTTTAGTAAAGATTTACAGTCTTGGAAACCCAATGGGGGTCGCTATGAGTTGGAATTGACTCGATGGCAAGGGGTGGGTTTTGTTTCTTAGTAAAATAAGTGATAGAGTACTTTTGCTAGGGACTTGGTAGCTTGTTAAAAGTAGTATTCTGTTTCTCATTAGATTACTTAGGCTTTATTCTTTGACTTTTGTAAGTGAAGAAAAAATGGACTTAAATCCTAGAAGAGTACGGAATAGCAGTATTCTTCAAACTATGGACCTTGACCTAAAATGGGCATGAAACAGTTTGATGCATTATAAGTAGCTTTTGACCCTTTCAAAACTGATTTATTTTCTGTTTTGAATTTTCTGTTGAAACCATGTGTTTTTAGTAATGGAAGGCATTTTGAATGAAATGAAAAAAAAAGTTTTTTAAGGTGATAGCAATTTTGATATAATATCCAGAGGGGTCTCCAGTATTGGAGTTGGTAGGATGAGTCCTGTTTCTTCAGATTCACACAGTTATACAGGCTCCCACAAGGTGGCGGCATGTACTAAAAGTGGGATAGCAACTATCCATTAAACCCCAAAGGTGGCAAATGTAGGTGGGCACTATATGTCCCATGGGTCACAAAAGTATTAAAAAATAGATTAGAAAAGATCAGCGCGTGCCCCACTTAGAAAAGGTCAGTATGGTATTGTGAAACTTGTGCTTTAGGGACATGTGTGCATATTAGGACCAGGGCTTCAAACTAGTTTATTCCAGTTTGCCTCCCTGCTGAGAATTTCCATTTCCACCCCAGATATACTAAATCACTCTACATTTTAATAAATTCCCCAGGTGATAATTTTCTATGATAGTCTTACCTAAAAACTATAAAAAATTAATAATCTTACGTATACATAAGAATCACCTGGGGATCTGTAAGAATCACCTAGGAATCTTGTTAAACTGTAGATTCTGATTCCATATATCTGGGTGGAAATGCAAATTCTCAACTGGGAGTTGAACGGGAATGAACTGGTTCAAAGCCCTGGCTTGGAAACAATGTAAAATATATTTCTTAATATAAACTCTAGATAAAAGTTTGAAAACTGTGCTAGAGCTGCAGATTTCAGATAGTTTTCTTTGAGCTGTCTCGAATATTTGTTTATAAACTCATACTGCCAAACACATTATGTACATTATAAAACAGTCACAAAGATTAGACATTCATAACAGATAAAAATCTAAACTGAAGTTATGTTTTCCTCCTATCTCATGGAGTCACCTTGTGTGCCCCTTACTTTAGTGACCACTGCTTTAAGGTTTCTTTCATCAACACCTTATTTTATAAATGAAGAAAGTGGAGTAACTTGATAACACAGTGGTAGATTAAATGTAAGGATGAAGTTTCTGACTGAGATTAAGAGACTAAGGTAAAGAAAGTTACTGTTTCTCCTTTTTATTGCTGCCTTTAAAAATGAGAATTATGTCCATTACTAGTAGAGACAATAATAGAGAAGTGTCCTGATTGGACTTGATTGAATCCACTGCTTCTCAGACTACTCAGGGGTTTTGAAAATTAGGGTTTCTGGAGATTGATTTCAAAATAGATGAAGAGGAGGAAAAACAACAAAGCCAAGTTATTTCATGAATTGCTGCTGAAATATGGAAGAAATGATATATTTGTATATTGAACAATACAGTAATCTGTATTTGTCCTTATTTTGGAGAAACGTGCAATTAAGTCTAAGAACATACCAATGGGTACAGTTATATTAGGGTTCATTTTTTTCCACTATGCCAAAATGGCTGACAGAAGTAATTCACAAAAGCTAAAGCTTTTAGCTTTACAGCAAAAGTAGACTTTATATTATCCATTGTTACTGATCTTTGAGCTTGAAACTGGCATGTTAATATGTCTGTTCAGAGAAAATGGATAGGCTTTAAGTGCCATCATTTTGCTTTAAAGTGCCATCATTTTTTCAATTAACTCATTCTGGACATACCATCTAGTAGTAAATGTGGATCTTTTTTAGGCCTTTTAGAAAACTTAAAACATATACAAAGTAAACAGAATAACATAATCAGTGCATGTTTCACATCAGGACCTATCATTGTTCTGCCATTTTTATTTCAGCTATACCTTCCTCTGCTCACCACTGCTTGATTAATTTCTTTGTAGTTTTTAAGTAAAATTTTCATACTTTGACATGAACAAATCTTAGGTGTACAGTTTTAACAAATAGATATACCCATGTAACCCACACTCCTATGAAGATACATAATGTGGAACTTTATTTGAATCGAGCTAGGGCAATGAAATCAGTCGTTTACTACTAACTTGGAAAGTAATGCTTCATTTTGTTTGCACTAAACTCTCAACCTTTAGGGCTAGACCACTGATTCTTGTCCATATGCACCTTATCCTTAACCAGCATTCTCTAGACTTCTCAGCCTATATGGTACTTGTTTCTGTTCTCCTGACACCCACCCTCTTGATTCCTCTTAATGGTCTTCCCCTAGACCAGCTCTGGTTCTAGTATAGCAATCAGTAGTACACATAGGTAAGTGTACATCACTACCAGCTTAACCAGTACTTTCTACTTTGTTTAATTGAAAAATTACAATATTACAACATGCTTATCATAAATAAATAGATAAAAACATAAGATATAAAGTAGAAATTGAAAGTTTCTCTTCACCTCTGATTCCATTTCCCAGAGATAACCACTGTTACTAGTCATATCTTTCTAGAATTTTTCTGCACCTGTACTAATGTATGTCTCTGTATTTTTCCTCCCCCACAACAGGGTAATTTTTCATCTGAATAATGTTTCTTTATTTGATAAAGTATACTTATCTTCTCTAACACAGTGGTCATGATGCAAGTATTTTCATTAAATCTCTGCTTTTGATTTTTTCTTTAATCATAGATTCAAAGATAGCATACATTTATACCACACATTAATTAGGACTATCTTTATGTTCCAGTCATTTGCTCAGAAGCATTGGTTTTGTCTGGGAGCTTGAGAATTGAGAGGACTGGTCTAGATCTGTGCTTTCCCACTCAATAGCCACTAACTGCATGTGCTATTGAGCCCTTGAAATGGGCTAGTCTGAATTGAGAAGTGCTGTAAATGTGAAATACACACCAGATTTAGAAGGCTTAGTACCAAAAAAAGTAAAAGGTTTCATAAATAATTTTTTATATTATCTACATGCTGAAATTATAATTGTTGACTGTATTGCATTAAATAAAATGTTATTGAAATTAATTTTATCTGTTTCTTTTTACCTTTTAATGTGGCTGATAGAAAAATTTAAATTACTTTTGTGGCTTGGATTATACAGGCAGTCCCCAGGATACGAATGAGATACGTCCCTAAGTGTGTCTTTATGTCAGATTTGTAAGGAAGTTGGGACGGGTGCATTCGGTTCTTTTTTCTTTTTTTTTTTTTTGCATTCAGTTCTTATTTAGCTTTACTTTAGTCCAAGAAAAGGCTAGAAGCCTTTTCAATGGCTTAAAAGCTGCATGTGCAGCAAGTAAAGGTGATTCTGATGAAGAATTTGTTGTGAGTAGGGGTTGGTGCAATTATTTCAAAGTGAGGTCAAATTTACATAATATTAAAGAGGGCAAGTAGGAGTTGTCCCTAAGTTGGATATTCATAACCTGGAAACTGCCTATATTTCTACTGGACAATATAATCTGAAAAAAAAACAACCAAACTCAACTGCTGTTGGGTCGGTTCTGACTCATAGCGACCTCTCCTTGGGTTTCCAAGGCGGTATCTCTACAGGAGTAGATTGCCCAGTCTTTCCTCCGAGGAGTGGCTGGTGGTTTGAACCACCAGCCTTCTGGTTAGCAGTCAAATCCCTTAGGCACTAGGCCACCAGAGCTCCTAATACTAGGTGGCAGAATATAAAGGAGAAAATGCTTTTATTTTGAAATATATAAACTTGTGAGTGCTTCCTGATTATAAAATTGCTAGTTTGTGATTTTCATTTTTGGCAGTGGTGTTTTCATAGCATAGATATGATCACAGAATGTCCTGAGAAATGGTTCTGCCAGTTTTGCTGTCTAGATAAAAACTTCATCTTTTTTATGACTTATTTAACTGAAAATAAGCAGCTTATTAATAGAAATTTGTTGATTTAAGAATCAACCTGTTTTTCTTCTCCTACGAAAAGTTTATTAAAAATGCAGCAAAGGTCTGTTTTTGGTTAAGTCTCATCAGAGAATTTTTAGTACATATACTTTATCTTCTATATGCTTTGAATTTCTGCAGTCATTTGCAGGAAGAACTAAATGAATTAAACATATAAAGGAACTCTCCATAACTACATTTGATAGGGAAATTCCATTTAACACAAAAGTTAATTCAGTAGTTATTCTATATGGTTCCTAAGACAGTTCTATAATTTTCTATGTATGTAATTTTAAACAAAATTAACTAAATATCAGTACAAAAAGTTTTTAACTTTTTTGGTAAAAAGTTTAACATAATTTAATAATATCAGTATAATATTATACCATCTTTTTTTAATATAATGTTTGTAGGAAGGATTGGTAGGCATTTAGTATTTGAGAAAGAAGATTCTATTAGAATATAAAATCTGATTTTTTTTTTTCCTTCTTCTTCTTTATTTTTATTGTGATTTGGGTGAAGGTTTACAGAGCAAATTCACTTTCCATACAGCGGTTCACATATACTTTGCCTCATGACATTGACCACAGTTTACCACAATGCAACAGCTCCCCTCCCACTTCCTCCCCATAGTTACCTCTTCCCAGCGTCCATCCCTCCATACACTCCTGCCCCCTGAGCTGTCTCCCTGTGCATAAGCAGCCCTTCTTTCTCCCATGATTGTTCTCTCCAAGGAGTATATCTACTTGAGGTAAATGTTCAACTCATATGCTTGTCTTTTGTTTGGCTGGAAACCACAGGTAGGGGTTTAATTCCAGATCTGAAGGGCAGCTAGGGGCCATAGTCTCAGTGGTTCCACCAGGCTCTATTGGATCAGCAAACCTGGTCCCCCCCTTTAGAATATAAAATCTGATTTTAATTTGTACTTTTTTTCTTAAGAGTTTTATTAATCAAGATAAAAGAAAAGAAACAGAAGATGAAGATAAATCAAAATCATTCATGCAGAAATATGAACAAAAAATCAGACATTTTGGTAAGTCATCTGTTTGAGTTCCTTTGGTAATGTTTGGTATCATATGTGTGTGTACAAAAATGGACTGTAGTATTGGAACTAGAAAGAAGATAAGTGACCCTCCAGGTACATAGCTACTTCTGGTGCAGTTGTACAGCTCTTGCAGACTTTTTTTATGGTCATAAACAAAATAGAATGAAAGAGCAAACCAGTTTTGAAGAGAAGCAATATTTATTCTGTAGTTGCATAGTACTGCCCTCTGAGACATAGTCTCTTTAATCTCATAGTCTCTTTTCATTTTCCAGGTAGTCATTTCTGGTTTTTTTTCCCTCTGTTTTCTTGGTGTCTCATTACCTTATAGTTATAAGATAAGCATTTATTTTTTGCAGTTTGAGACATGGTGCTATATAATTCAGGCAGATCTCAACCTGTTGTTCAGTACAACAACACAAAAGTATAGTAATAGAATTGTGTACAAAGAACTGAAGAAACCATTTTCTCTATTGGAGATGAGGCATGGGATGGGGATTAGTGTAACAGTATTCCAGAGGTGGTCCCATCAGAGCCATATCAGGAACAACCAATGAAAGTTTTCCATGTAGGAAAGTGAGGAAAGGCAACAGCAGCAACATCTACAAAGGGTTGGAGTCACGGAATAGCATGGTGTGTTCTGATGATTATAAGCAGTATGATCTTGCTAGCATAGAAATTAGGAAGGAAGGTTTAAAGCTTATTTTTTTAATCTCAAGTTTTAGGTTAATTTAGTGAAAGGTTTTTATTTGCAATATGTTAATGAGCTTTTTAAATATTAGAATTTTAAAACCTTTTTCCTACTGGTGTTTCCCCCACACACACACCAGAAGTATTTAGAATTTCAGTCATATCAAGACATTGGATGTTACTTTAAATGTTTTTTTCCTCCCTTTTATGCAGTTCATTTCTTTATCATTTTCAAAGTTTTTATTAAGAAAAAAGCCTGTATAAAGAAAGATAGTTTCTTTTTGTATATGTTTTCATTGTGGTACTATTTATAATAGGAAAAAAATGGGTAAATGGTCCTCCCTTGGATAGATACTAACATTTTTAAACTAGTAGAGCCCAAAGTCATAAGGATAAAAAGTGAACATTTTGCAGGTTAGTCATAAGTTGTGATAAGGTAAGGTGCCACCTTCACCTATGGGCCTTGCTTCCTGGGCCCGTGCGTTCTGTTGCTGCAAAGATCACCATATATTGGTTGCTGGTTCAGAGCATGTACTGCATCTGGTAGAACAGCATCCTTTAAGGTGGTGTCACCCAGCTAGCATTTTATCAAGGCAGCTGCTTTGGAACCATGGGGAGCTTGTTGTTGTTGTTATGTACCGTTGAGTCGGCCCTGACTCATAGGGACCCCTCCTTGGGTTGCCGAGGCAGTATCACTACGGAAGTAGATTGCCGAACCTTCCTTCCGAGGAGTGGCTGGTGGGTTTGAACCGACAGCCTTCTGGTTAGTAGTCAGGTGACTTAGGCATTATGCTACCAGAGCTCCTATGGGGAGCCTAGTGGGTTTAAAACAGATCCCTCACTTTTGGAGTACTTTGATCAGAAGCAATTTTGTGTGGGAAAATGTCCCAGCCTCACAGGGTGCTGTTATCCACCTGGCACCATACCCAAGTCATTAATAAACCACTTCTATAAAGCCTGTTGCATCTGAGTAGTGGTGTTTATAATAACGCCAGGAATTCCATGAGCTCATTGTCTCGTTTATTTTGCTGTATAATTAGTTCCTCAGTCAAGAAATAATGTGATTTGATGTATTATGTGTTTCCTAAGGCCACAGATGGTATTACTGGCAGAAACATGGCAAGGAGGAAAGTATTTCCAGATCTAGATTGTATTTGTTCCAGTGAAGATTCAGTGCTCCTTCCAAGATGAAATGGGTTCAACGGTCATCAGCCTGCTACTTGATGGCTGGCTGGTCTCCATTGTGTAGTGCCTTACTGATGTTTCAACATTGGTTTCTGCTACTGGCAGATTAGGTATTCAGTGGTCATACTAGTACATTGTTGGTGTAGAGAGCCGATGTTGAGTTTATACAAAATTTCTGACTGTACCACCTTGGTCCCTTAGTCTCTGAAACTGTTGCACAAACATTGGGATGGCTGACTTGACCATAAACAACTGTTTTGCCAGTGCATGCCGTGGACTCATCCTATAATACTAACCAGTGCCACAGTCTTCAAATCCAACCACATCTGATGACCACTCCCAGATTCACATTGTGCTTCTTTCTTAGTGGAAATACACATTAAATAATACTTTGGAGGAGATCGCCTACTTGCCACAGCCCATTGGATCCCCCAAAAAGTTATTGAAGTAGTGTTTTATTTCCTGTTCTCTGGGATGCGTGTATCTTACCAAGGTATCTATTAACTCCTGCTCACCATGTTCCATCAGTGTGGTATGAACCAACTTGCAGTTGTGTGGGATGATGAAACAACCAAGTCCTGTGGATTAAATTGTGGCACAGGGTTGATACACACCTGAGGCAAGATCATGAACACTTCCTGTCCTTGCTGGGTAGAAGCAGATTTTTCTGGTGTGGTACGCTTAATGTGGTAAAGGGGAAATATACTTGCCAGAATGATGACTATCTTGATAAGACTATAAAGAAAACACCTGGAATACCAGTTGTAATTAAAGCCTCTAGCTGGAGACTTTCCAAACTTGGATTGCATTCCAAACCTTTGGAAAACATGGGTCTGGTGCACAGGGCCTGTGTAAGGCTACAGGGTCTCACACTAGTACTTCTTTGTGGTCTTGTGTGTATTTATATTCTTTATAGTTCTTCCTGACTTTCCCTTATGTCATATTTATTGACTGTCATTCTTGTGTTGCTTTTACCTTAGAATTTAATGGAATCTATCATCTAATAGTAAATGGTGCAACCATATGGAGTGTCCTGAATCACTGAAATCATGATTTTTTTTCCCCCTCCATTTCTATGTAACTTATTTATTTAGTTAATTCATATTTTAAACATGTAAACTATGAATTTGGAAACAAAGCTTGTATTTCTCTTAAGTTTCACAAAATAATTTTATTCATGGTCATGTGTCTTTGACATCACTGTTCCCCATCAGCAGAGCTGAATGTTGAGTCCTCTGACCGATTTTCAGAGCAGATCATTTTCCCTTAGAGCTAGGTTACCTGTGATTTAGCACTTCTTGAATCTGTGTAGGATGTAGTCACTGGGGTACCTCACTTGTCCTGAAGGTGAGTAAGTACCATCTCTTTAATGTCATCACTTCATGTATAGCAATATAAATTTTTAAGAAAGGGCACTCTGGTGGCATAGTGCCTAAGGCATTTAACTGCTAACCAGAAGGCTGGTGGTTCAAACTCACCAGCCACTCCTCGGAAGGAAGGTTGGGCAACCTCCTTCCGTAAAGATACCGCCTTGGCAACCCAAGGAGGGATCGCTGTGAGTTGGAAACGACTCGACAGGAGTGAGTTTTTTTTAATATATATGATAAAAGATACTATTGAAAGAATGTGAAGTAAAAGAAAATTGTGTTTATTATAATTTTGTTTCTTTTTAAAAAGTCATTAATGAAGCCTGGAGGGAAATACATAAAAATGTTGACAATAATTATCTCTAGTAGTACAATAGAAGATGATTTTATTTTCTGGATTTTTTTCAAATTCTTTACAATGTATGTACTTTTATAATCTGATAAATGTTTTTAAAGAGTTTATCCTAAGAGTTTAAGAAAGGCTTAATTAACATTAGAAAATCCATTAGTGTAATCTACCACATTAGCATAGGACTATCCTGTAACCAAAGAGCCCTGGTGGCACAGTGGTTAAGTGCTTGACTGCTAGCCAAAAGGTCAGTGGTTTGAACCCCTAGCCACTCCACAGGAGAAAGATGTGTCAGTCTGCTTCTGTAAAAATGTATGGTCGTAGGTGGTCTCTGTCAGCCCTGCACCCAGCCTGCCCCGCCGGCACCACCGCCTCCACTGGGGTGTTTGCGTCTGCCCTAGTCAGCCCTGCTCTGTGTCCACTCTGTACTAGGAGCAGCCTCAGGCAGTGGCGCAATGGTCCCTGCCATGTTTGCCACCATGAGGCAGAGATTCGACTGGTTCCTGCACAAAAAGAACTGCATGACCGACCTTCTGGCCAAGCTGGAGGCCAAGACCGGTGTAAACCAGAGCTTCATTGCTCTGTGTCATCGGGCTGGTGGCCCTGTACCTGGTGTTTGGTTATGGAGCCTCTCTTCTCTGTAGCGTTAGGATTTGGCTGCCCAGCCTACATCTCAATTAAAGCCAGAGCTCCAACAAAGAAGAGGATACTCAGTGGCTGACATACTGAGTAGTATATGGTGTGTTCAGCATTGCCGGATTCTTCTCTGATATCTTTCTGTCATGGTTCCCCTTCTACTACATGCTGAAGTGTGGCTTCTTACTGTGGTGCATGGCACCAAGCCCTTCTAATGGAGCTGAACTGCTCTACAAGTGTATCATCCTTCCTTTCTTCCTGAAACATGAGTACCAGGTAGTCAGTGTGGTGAAATATCTGAAAGACAAAGCCAAAGAGATGCAGATGCCATCACCAAAGAAGCCAGAAAAGCTACCGTGAATTTACTGGGTGAAGAAAAGAATAGCACCTAAACGAATGACTGGATGGCACTTTTCTTTCCTCTCCATACCTTCCTGTTGTAGTTCGGTGTTATATTAGGGATTGTGGTATAGTCATTTTAATAATGTTGCCTTGAAAACATTTTTGATATATTTAAAAAAAAGGAATGTTTTGTTTATTTTTACTGTCTAGATATGGAAGGAGCTCTAGTAGTGTAGTGCCTAAGGCATTTGACTGCTAACCAGAGGATTGGTGGTTCAAACCCACCAGCCTCGGAAGGAAGGTTGGGCAATCTACTTCTGTAGTGATATCACCTCGGAAACCCAAGCAGGGGTTGCTATGAGTCAGGTCTGACTCGATGGCACATAACAACAAAAACAACAACATGTATGGAGGGGAGCTCT